CCCCCCCCCCCCCCGGTGTCACCCTTGGCGACTTGCATATTTGCGTTTCCCTTTTTCCGCTTTTTCTCTCCTTCTTCTACCCACATGGCTACCCGAGCTCTGGACCCGCGGGCCGCACCCTCTTCTTCTCCGATTCTTCCCTGAAAGGAGGAGGAAAAGGGATCCCTTCTTGACTGCATACATTGTCTCACCCCGGAGCCGTTGAGGCGGGCCTCCAGAACAACTGGCCAGAACAAGTCGCCACGCCGCTAGCCTTGCCGCCAACGGGTCAGCCCTCATGCCCCCTCCTAGAGGGCATTCTATCGCTTCTCAGTTTTCCCTCCTTTCCCGCAAACGACGCCATCTTCTTCCCTTGCCACGTTTTCTTTGTTCTTCTCACACGCCAGGTGGCTGCCCCCCCATGGTCAACGATGAGACGCCTAAACCCCACCTCGCCTCCCTGTGTAATTTCCCACACAACTCGGAGTCCACAACTTCCCGAGGTGCCACAATCGATAGTTGGAGTTGACAGGCGGCCTTCAAAAGTCTTTATCTCGTCAATGACGGCTAACTAGTCGGAAAAATTGGCCAACGTTTGAGAGCCATAGATTTCGAACTCCCGCGCGTGTCCACTCTGCCATGTGGTTGGCCTCTCCCAAAATACCTTCTTCTCATGCGCCACACCACGTTTTTCCTGGTTGCGCTGGCCTGATCTGTTGAAGAGAAAAAAACGACGCGTCGTTCTGCCAAGATGAAGCCTCGGAGCAAGTTGCTCTTTTCGTTGGCTCGTGGGGACGTGGTCTATTATACTGGCGTATCTTGATGCCGGCAGTTCCCAGCATCATCAGGCCATTTATCTCACGTCTTGACGATGAATAAGATTAGCTAACAACCCATGAACCTGTCGTCTGGTATTTTGCCCAACGTTTGACTCGGCGGGGGAACACGCGGCACCGCCCTCTTTCCGTCTGCAAGTGATTTGCGGCCTCGAGATGAAGGAGAAAAAAAAAGCAATTTTACCATTTGGAACCTCTGATCTACGGGATTGCGCAATCCATTTCTTCCTAATTGCTTCTTTGATTTGCGCCTATTTGCTGACCAACTTGTTCTTGGAACCCACCGGCTTGCGCCAGGCTGCATGCACGTAGGGCACGCCTCGCGATGAAGTGCATGCAGATGCTCCATTGGCATTCGTGGGCAAAAGCAATATGGCACGCGAATGTCCGTGGACCTAACGCACCGTTGGCATGGCCGTCCCGCGTGCGTTGCCAGCCGTTGGACCACCGTTGGATTTCGACAAGCGGCAGGAGACGTCACGTCACAAGACGTCCAAGTAGCGGGCGGTTCAATCATTGTGCCACGTCGCTAATCACGTTTCTTGTTTCAAGTACAAAGTACAGATGACTTCACATTCCATACGGATAGTCATCGCCTTTACCAACCTCTCTTGCCCAGAAATGTAGTCCATACCAACCGGGAACAACCATCCCCCACGCAGCTCGCTGCAAACACTCTAGCAATCTCGCAACTTACTCCACACATAGCGCTTTCTCCAAAAAAGAAACACGACGTTTGCTTTTTCTTGCATCCTCTCCTCGGTTCTCGCTCGTCGTCCTGCCTCTGTGGCTTGGGGTTGCGTTGAGTGTGCTCTCATCACACCGCCCGTCATCACCTGTTCTTGCCAACGGTCGATTACCGAGTGCCTACATTTGCGTGGAGAGTTACGAATGAATGAATGAATGCGGAAACAAGAAAACACTCGGACAATAACATGGATGAGAGGACACTGAGACACGTGCGGTGTGTGGGTTGAAATTCCCAGAAATCGCACCATGCGCCTTTGGGGATGGAGGACGGTTCAACTAACTTCGGCTACGGCCCGAGCCAGGTTGCGTTGCAGCTACGAGACATGCTTGATTGAATCGATATTGACGTAGTGCGAGGCTTTGTGTGATTTGATCATGGTGGCTGTATCCTGAGATCTCCTCCTTGATACAGATGCATCCAGTCTCGACAGTACCTGTATGGCTCTGTGCTTGTTAACTTGTACAAGAATAACTACATCTCTTGGCTATGTTCTCAGCACATGTAGCTCCAAAAGAAAGACAAGGATTCGTTTCTCGCAAGTGACAACCTCGGCACCTGGCTCATCCAAGAAAATTTCATACCAGCCGGAACCAACTTGGACGGCTCGCGAAACGCTATACAACACAACACAGCACATCACATCACATCACTTTCTTGAAGTAGACCCCAAGGAACGCAAAACTGATCACAGTAATACGGTTGGTTCATGGGCTTTTGCCAACATCCTCGGTTACAGTCCGCGGGTGCAACAATGTCTCACAGCCTCCTCCCCCCCCCCCCCCCCCCCCCAAATCTGTGTCGGACGTTGAAAAGAACAACCTTGGCCTTTGTCCTTTACCCAACGAATGGGAATCCTGGCCTCGCGCACACTCCCCTTTGCTCGTCAGAAAAAAAGCAAAAAGAACAAGGGAGGAAACAGTCAGTCAAGACAGAAAGTTTGTGACGTTTTTGTCTCTGGATGGACAAGGCTGAGTCAATTCGCCGACCCTGACTCGTAAGGGCATGCCAATTCAATAACCCATCCGTCTGCGTGCAGATTTGGAACTCGTATGTACCAGCAGCTCGGAGAGCGTTGGACGTTCTGTGTGGGAGCGTATTGTTCCTCCGTCACCACTGTTGACACGCGCAAACCTGACAAGAGATCGACTCTCTTCTTTGCGTCCCCTGTCAACGTAGCACCCCC